GGTTTCCCCGCGTGAGTTCGAATCTCATCCTGATCGATAATTTTGCAAGGACTCTTCAAATGCCAGGCGGTGAGTACAAATATCGACTTTTGTTGGGCAAACCTTGAATTTTTTCAAGTTATTCTATTTTTCATGGTTTCCCACAGTTTTTCTTGACTTGTTTTGTTCGAAAAGCAAATGTATTACCTCGGCTAAGGTAATGAAGATAAAGCTTGCCATAACCCTCACTTCTTTCTTTAGGACCTCTTTGGGTGTTCCGCCCTGAACCTCCTATAATCCTTCACTCGTAGTCATTCTAGGTCTGGCAGTGGATCCCTATACTCGAACTTTGTACTATACGGACCGATACTTTGAAAGAATCTTTGCCATCGATTATAACAACAACTGGACGGCTCGAAGTGTACTGCATGACAAGCGAGTAGGTTAACTTTCACTTTTAAGGGAAAAAATGCAGGAATACTCAATTTGAACATTGGTGGGAAGAGGAATAATCGGATCGATGATTTCGGTTCCCTTTTGAAACTGCTGTTCTGCTTTTTCTGCAGTTTCAACTGAATTGCTTGAAATCATCAGCCTTAGCAGTTGCTTACCTCCTAGAGCACTCCGGGATTTGTCGTAGACCAGATACGAACTTTGATTCCATATCTGTCTCGTACTTCTAACATTTTCAACTCTGCTTTCGTTTTGTACCGTAATTTTGATTTCTGGTAAAGTTTTCCTTCGTTTCTATAGAATTTGGGCTTTTTTGTTTTTATTTGACATCTATTGAATGCTCGACTCGTCGCCCAACTCGCCGTGGCTCAGAAGCCACAATATTTGGACATACGTCAGTAGTGTTGAGAGATCAAGGATAGGCTACCACACTCTATATTTACCTGAATGGCTTGTGGAGTTATACCATATTGGCCTAGATTAGACTCAGAAAATTAGTTTGAATTCCAATTTTAGACACCGGGCCCAGTTGTAGAACTAAGTGTAGAAATCGCTCGAAGATACATGAAGGAGAAACGAAATTGAAAAGACGTATTGTTTCAAACTACCAGTTATTTCTAATTGAAGGTGGGATTGAACCAAACAACTTCTTTGACAGCAAAAGCATTTTGATATCAGACATAGAAGACTGCATCTTTCCATGCAATGTTTATGAAGACTTTCCACTGACGATTAAACAAGTGCTTCGCCATTTCGTATACTTCAAGGCACAGTTCACTTTTAAAATGGTTTCTGAGATTCCCCCCACAAGATGAATTCGAGGCCCCTCGAATACCATATGGCGCTATCAGGTCGGAAAACGGCCTAGCTAGGGAGCTATGAAGGCTCAAAGACTGGCCCGTGTGTATGCGTTTCACCGGCATTGTAGAGGCTGCACCGATCACAAGGAAACCCATGTAGGAAATTCAACATCTTGTCATGATCCATAGCGACAGTGAAAGGCAGTTCTGTACACTTTTGGCTTGATGTAGTCGGCTCTGTGTGTAACTGCAAAAACTGGAATCTCGTCCAAATGCCCCTTCCATGTTATTTCTGTTATGGCAATCTCGTCCAACCTCTATTTCCCCTACATTTGAGGAGCCATATCTTTTTCGAATTCGGCGAATTGTCCCGCTTTCTTCACCACCGATGAACTATTCTCAACCTATACTTCCGCTTTTCAAGTAAAAAGGGGTACTTCAAAATTATCGTGAACTGGGCCTTTAATATGGCAACTTCAGCTTTGTTCATCAATTTTATTTCCTATCTTTTCGATTTGCGTAACTGTTGCATATTGCTGTTGTGATCGACAATTCCAAGATCACAGTGCTACTTTTTCGACATCTGTCTACAGTGAGATGCGTGATCGTTTATAGCGAGCAGAGTTGTGGGGTTGTCTCCCTCAAAAATCATTTCCCTTCACAAAATCCTTTAGAAGAGGGTACAAAATATTTCTCTTAAGTTTTAATCCAAATCCACAAGCAGCTGTGAAATCCTTGACTGCTTAAGAAACGGTTTCATTCGGCCCCTGTCCAAAGTTGGTCGATAAGGCAGTGTGATCGCGCGGCAAAACACTCAGCGCATACCTAACTCTTTCTGGCACATACCACTTGCTATGCTCAAAATCGCCATTGGGTTCTCTGGTCTTCTCTACTGATTCCGTTCGGCTCTGTCTCTACGCCCCCAATATCTTCAGAAAGTCAGTCTTGTCGATCTTTCTCCTCTTCGTCCACTATGTCTTGCACGAGCTCTTCTACGATCCCTCCTTGCGCTTTCTCACCTTTGGGAATCAGAGCAGTGGGAACTGTTGATCTTTCCCAATTCGTTCGGTCAATCGTAGTCATACCCAGATCCATTATCGAGTAATCGATTGGCCAGAGAGCATTCTCAGTTTTGTGATCACACTTTTTTGTTAGGTTCGTCCTCATTATCCCTGTTACCGATCCGTCTGCATAGGACTGCTGATGCTAGGTAACTCGTGCACCATAGCTGTTCAGTTCCGAGTCATTCCGCTCTATGTGATTGGGTTTTAAGGACTTTCTTGGATTCCATTGATTTGAGAAAGGAATTTCTTGAATGCCTTTGTGAGCAGTAGTGTTCGTATTTGTGGAAAATATCTAATTTCGCCTGTCATGCACGAAAAATTATTGCTCCTCTCAAAGTTGGGAGGTAGTCAGCGATCAAAAATGTTTGAGAAGGAGCGGAGGTAGATTTTACAATTTTAGACTACAACTTTATTCTATGCTCTTAAATTTCAACACCTTTCTCTTCAGACTTATTGTTTGTAACCAGTTCCCCTCATTTAGCTTCTAAAAAACAATCCCACTCCGTTTATCAGTAGGTAGAGTTTTCAGCTCTAGAGCGGTTTCTCTTATAACACCCTGTTTTAAATGTGACAAATTGAAAAAGTGAAAATCCAACGCAAAAAACGAGTAGTTCGTCAAACGTACACCACCAGCAGTTCATGTGATATACAGCAGTTTATCCGGTATCCCGATCAGGATACGGTGGCACCAATAGATACGCTGCGTTCATCACTTATGTTTTAATCTTAGTAAATTATTTAATACAGTGTCGTCCTGCAAGGTTTTGTCAAAATATCCCGAGATCCTTCAATTAATTACAAATCCATGTAAGGAATATCCATTTTACTCCATGTCAATAGTTGAAGTAATCGAGAAACCTTACTTGTGCTCTCCGCTTTTGTAAAGATGCCTATGCAGTTGCATTTAAGAGCCCATCTTGAAAATCATAGATAAATTTAGAATTACTACCGAATTTTGCATTCAAAATATTCTTTTCAGTTGAAATATGCCACTTCGTTGACATATTTTGCTGATGAGCCGAGCTGAACTGCTCCATGTGGATATCATCACCTCCCATGTTGATATCATCGATTTCCATTTGTCAATCGATGGATTCTTCGTCAATCACAATTTGACAACCAGAAAAGGTTGCTATCTTCATGTTTTTTGAATTAATTGAAATTTAACTATATCTTTAATTCTATTGAATTTATATCTTCTAAATGATATATGATATAAACGGTTTAAGTGGTTGTCATTTTTCATTTGAATTTTATTATTTGGCTGATAAAATGCACATTTTTCTATGGGGGATGACGTTTTATTTCACCTTGTACGTCATGTTTTTATATATTTGGTTTTTTATTGTGCAATGAGCGGTACGCTTGCCTTATCTTGCTCACGGGTGACTACGCAAGCTCCGCCCTTTTTGTTCGACGGTTCTGCTTTAATCTTTATCCCTTTTTGTACTATTTATGCAAAGGATTATAGACGTGGACTGATGTTTTTTTGCTATCAGCAGATTGGGAGAGTGGCTTAAACTCTGGGCAGTCATATGATCCCAATTGCTTCCGATCACTTTGGTGAATTTAGGTTGAGATGTGTGCGTAGGTTTGGGGGCCACTGTATGGCATAGCGCTGTTCTGCAATAGCTAGACTCAAGTTTGGTAGGTTCGAATTTTGACTTTACCATACGAAATGTGCTGTCAACCCTTGCAAACCGTCAGCATGTTCATATTTAATATCTTCGGAATCCTGAGAAGGGTTTGGGGTATGGCGCATCCCAAACCGGCGCATCAGACTTCGATCAATTTTTCTTTTTCGTTCTTTTTCGATTTTTTTTTGAAATGTCGGGTACTTTTGCAATCATGCATCATATTCTTCTTTTTTCGTGACCTTGTCTTTTCCATAGAATTTATACCTATCGATCGCTTTTACAGATGGCGAAAGTTGTTCGTCAAGAAAAGGTGGCTGCTCTAATGGCATTTGTGTGATCAACGGCCATTCCTCAGCGCTATGTCTTTGTTCTGTGAGCATTTCAACGTTACCGTAACCTTTTTCATGAAAATTCAGCAGTCAGATTTCTGCCATTTTCAGGATGGCATGGTGCTCATTAATGGACAGTGCTCGGTGAGTAATGCAGCCGGTCCTTTGCTAGTATACTCTCGACTGTCACCAGAGTGGATTCATGGAGTACGTGTAGCGCCAGACGGGATTACGGTAAGATTTGGTACTATTTAAGCTTATCGATCGATCCCGGACTCAGATCTGTCATTACCATAATCAATGTCGATTATTTCAGGTTTCCTCGGCAATGCCTTCGATTCTGTCTCTGAAAGGAGAGGCCTTATTCACTATAGATTCAGTGAAGGGAGAAATCTTTTTCTATGACGATGCCAAATCGGCCATCTACAAGCGATCGTTATATGGTGGAAATGTTACGCTAGTCATTGGAAATGGTATGCCTCCAATTACGGTAACCCCAAAAAGTTACGTTTGATCCGAACACCTTTTTTGAATGATAAACTGCTTAGCAAAGTATGAATGGTGTCATATGAGTAAGCTTTATGAGGAACGGTAATGACGAGCAACATCACTACCGTACTCTTACAAAAGGTGGTGCAATATCGATACCGTAATCGATCAAATAGACTCCCCACCCGTCATTAACTGTGTAATCAGGAATAGTTTTCGCTTTGGTAGTAAAAGCCCTCGCATGCACATGAATCGAGTCTTTAACCCAATGCATAAGCTAAATATCTACTTGAATGCTGCTGCAATTCTGCGTTGTAATAAGTTGTATGGCGCATCTTGGGGCTCGTGGACACTCACACCCACTTCAGCTTGTCATACTGTAATGTAATACTGATCTCGAATAAAAAAAGACTTTTAATACCTCGAATAAAAAAAGACTTTTAATACTCATTTATTTAAAGGAGCCCACCACATAACATGCATGGCATTCGACTCGTCCTCAGGAAATCTCTATTACGGTACCCGTCCCAGTTGTAAGTTGCCGCATCAATTTTTCAATTACTATTTATTACTTATCATTCCTTTTATTTTATTTTCCTTACTAAATTAATAAATTCAGTAGAATCCAGTTTCCAGGTTCGACTTTTACTTTTTTTTTCGTTGTTGTTGTTGTTGTTTACTTGGCGCTACTTCTTTTCTTGCTTTCTTTAATTACGTATACCTCGCGTAACATGTATTCTCTTTGGAAGTGCCTTGTTGCTTGGATTCAGTCCAATACAGAGTAGTAGGAAATGCGTCTTTATCTGTCCTCCCAGGTCATATTTATTGAATGCTTTACGACTTATTGTAATCCCCTTTGAGACTACAATCTTTTGGACCAATTTATCACTTTTTTGATAATCCAATGACGTCGAACGCCAGGCTTATTTCCATTTGATCCATATGCATACCATACACAACTTGCAATTGTATATTATCTTCTAGTAATACACGAGATTGAAAAGCATTTTCAGGAAACTAAAAATCGTATTTTCAAAATGCAAATTTTAAAAATGATTTTTGTTAATACCAAGGTAAAGGGCCAGAAGAAAACCAGCAATTTCTTCAGACTTATGTTCTACTCCAGTACGACTCAACTCCGGCAGCATAGTATAATACGCGCGAATCTAGACGGTACTAATCCCACAGTAAGTTTGCAAATACTTAAGTTTCCCCATTTTTCGTACCATTATAATATAATTTATAGATTCTTGTGAGTTTCTTCTCGTTCCATCCTCTGACTATGGCTCTTGACGTTACTGCTCTAAAAGTCTACTGGTTGGATCCGTTCGAGTTCACGCTGCATCGAGCTGGTTATGACGGGGAAGACAGTGAGGTAAGATAAAACTCGATTCGAAGGATGCTTCAAAAAGTTTTGAGAAAAATGGCGGAGGCATGAATCCTAGAGCAAATTCCCCGATCAGCACATGAGAACTACTTTCCTAATTTTCTGCGTCATCGGCTTGATGGGTTTTGAAGGGAAATTTCTCAAACTTTCCCCGTCTATGTATTGCATGGTTTTCGCAGGGGACTTCAAAAAATATGTACGGTCTTTGTGTGGAGATTTGGTCTGTACGCAGTGTTTGCACACAATAGACGCGTGCGTTCGCGTGGCGGCTGTCAGAGTAGCTGGTGTGAAACTGTACTCTGCCCTGAATTGCTATTTGTTTCTGGAACTTTCTGCATTGTTTTTTGCAAGATCGTTTATCGTAGTCCCCAATATTTCATTCACTCCAACTGATATAGGAGGGCGCACTGATGAAGCGCAACCCGCCCTTCCCAAACACCTCATAGGTTTGGTAGTGCCCTGCGTCGATACTTTTACCAAAACAAAGCAAAATAATTCTTGTTCTAATGTTGCCTTGAGTATCTGATATACTAATATCTTCCAAAATGATTTCCAGAAACTTCCAATCATCTCACGCACACTCCGCACACTTACCGTACTCTCCGGCCAAATCTTCTGGTCTGATGTGAGTGTTTTCGAGAGCGATCTGTACTTTTCGCGTTGTCTTCTTTTTGGTTGGGATTTACCTCGATATTTAAATATGTCAGTTTTCAAGGGCGAGGTATAAAACGAGGCACCTGAAAGCCAACGGTATATTTGATGTGGTATCGATTGACTCACTCCTTGCGTCTCAGCTGTTTCTGTACGAGACTAAATCATTACGTAAGCCAATCAATTGAGATCTGATTTTTTGAGTTGATTGAAAAGCACTTGATTTGAGAGTTATCTGTGTACGTGAATGGAAAAACAATAATAGAAATAAAAAAATAAACTCGGTAGCAAGGGCGGTCATTGTACATCGCCGATTCGGTTCCGGTCATGCTACTTCAACAGATGTAGGTAACAGAGGCATGGCGCAGTGGCTTCCAGTATTCAAAAAGCCTACACCATGTATGTATCCGGAGCACGACTACTCTATCCTCTGTATGCTGGGGATAGAATACACGAATGATATTAGTTATATATTTCTCCAAATTTTTCCTAGTCTATTACTAGAGTCGTTATGATTTAAAACTACAGTTGAAATAGAAAATTAAGTGAAATATGAGCCATGAGTTTCAGTAGAAACTCTTCTAATCACCCCTACAAATTGGAAAATATGGTACATGCATGGCGTACGTGACCGCAAATCGGCAAACATTGTTCTCCATCAATTCTATTCCTATGATCGTTTCAGCAAGTTCAAAATGTTCCAAAGGCAATGGCGGATGTGAACAGCTATGTTTCCCTGGAAGTTGCTCGAATTTGAAAAAATGCAATGACCTCACAATGAAATGTGCCTGCGCGAGGCACATTTCATTGTGGACCCTGCCAAATGTACAGGTAAGTAGTTGAATTGGAAAAGTTTCTATGCTTTATTTTTAATATTTGGTCTGAATCCTTACTAATCTGTGGCTATGTGGCTGCGTAGGTTCCACGATAATAGCATTGTAACCATGATACTGTGTTTTTTCCTGGCCAAACTTTTTTTTCCAAGATGATTTATGTCTGTAAGATGATTTATGTCTGTAAGATGATTTATGTAATATATCTATTGATTTCTCAAAATTTTTTGGAGTGCGTGCTCGGAATCGGTATCTCATTTGATTTTCAGTGAACCCGTCCAGTGAATCTGAAAAATGTGGCGAAAAAACGCAGTTCATGTGCAAACATACTGAGCAGTGCATTGACATTAACAAAGTTTGTGATGGTCGTTGGGATTGCTATGACGGCAGTGACGAAGATATCCGTGGGATATGTGGTGAGTATCGAAATAAATCGTCTGATCCGAAATCCGAGGTTGAAGAGTAGCAGACTGCCAGAGTCGTGAGAGCTATCTCCATCTTTGATGATGCGAATAAAGGGGCTCTCAAGAGCAGCCTAGGTATTTTTTATAACGTTGTAGGGTACGGTTCTAGGTTTTCTCAGCATGATGAGTACCGGATTCGACAGTGATTTGCCGTTAGTACTGCGCAAGGCACAGCCCTGTTTATGATAGGACGGACATAGTTCCGTTCGTTCAATACAGTACCCTTCGGGAAGGCAAGGGGACCGCAACCGGGTGAACACATTACTAAGACCTTGTCTCTTAAAGCATCAATCCAAAGAGATGACCACTTCATGGTTTATACCTTTGGGTTGAATAAACCCACGAAACTCCCAGAATCGTAGTTTTTCCTCAAACTTCTCGGGATTTTGCTGCACAAGCGATTGGCAATTAGATATGATGTGGCTGAAAATTGGAAAAAATAGTGATATCAGAAATATTTTGATTTTAGCCGGCAACTTCTCATGCTCTAATCGGGAATTCAGATGTGTTTCCATGACATGTATACCGGAGCATTTGGTATGCGATGGACTGGAGCGGACTGTGAAGATCGCAGTGATGAGAAGTGGACAGTATGCAAAG